TAATAATTTAACATTCCCTAAACCAAACGCTCCTATAAGGTTATGAGATGAACAAGGGAAAAATATCTAGAGTTTGAGTCACGGGAACAGATTTTGAGCCTAGTAAAATGAGTTGGGTAAAAGACAAACTCGAGTCCTTCCTCGATAAAGTCTATATGTGATTATGGTAATTCTTCGAGTCGCAAGTGGTGGTGTCATAATCATTAATCTTAGTTGATTGTTGTTTTCTGCAGCATAAGATTATAAACGCTCCAAAATCAATAATAATATATAGGAATGGATGATTGGATGGTCTAATTTGTCACGTAATATTTGTTGCTTGATTGCTCTGGTTAGACTATTTTAGTGGATTACGTCTGTGTATGTCTGTTAGCTAACTTACATAATCTGGAAAAACAACAGAAATATCATTTAACTCTGTAAAAAATTAAGCATCAGACATCCAAAAATCTGCCCTGGACAATTAATGATGAATAAACTAAGATTGGCAAGTTATGTTTCAGAAAGCAGCCTGGTATTGGAAGCCAACAAAGATATTCACTGCCGTTGAAGTTTTCCTTTCAGAGATTTGCATTTCTGTTGATTATGAAATCAAGTACTATATACAGTGAAACGTTGAACATATACCAGTTGACAGTGAGCTAGCCAATAGCCATACCTTAATCTGCTCTTCACTATATGCAATTAATGAAAATTGTCTACATAAAATCTGAAATCAGGCCCAAAAAAAGGATTGGGTGTGTGGCTGCTGGGATTCGAGCCCAGGTCTCCACGGCCACAACGTGGAATTCTTACCACTAAACTACAGCCACCTGCGTTGCATTGACATGTTTTAAAGTTTTAAAAATCAATGAACTGCACCAATTTGTAAACTTTAGCCCCTTGAAAGAGTGAAGTGAAAACACCCACGATATTTAAAAAGTATTGTATACCTCCTTGATTATTAACAACTGGAAATTCTATTAATATTTCCTTGTATTCAATACATTGAATAGAGAATTGAGTACATAAAACTAAATATATTAAAAGAAGAAATTAAAAGACTTCCTGAAATTTTTATTTGAAAATTTCTAAAATAATTATTCATAGGTTCTCTCTCCATTAAATACCTTATGCTTATAACTCAAAATTGTTGAAAATAAGAGCTAGGCTTTTGAAATCCCATTAATTAGACAAAGGGCGTTCATCCTTTACGGCAAATAATTTGTTCCTAATTTTTGACCCATTAGCTAGCATTTTGTTTTTGTTTTCAATATGTCATCAATTGTAATAAACCAAAAGCGGAAGCCTAAGAACACATGCCTCCGACCATAGCAATCAAATTCTAATATGTGAGAAGTGACATTCTTTGACTAGTCTATCAAAGACCTTAATCCATGGGATAGATGGAAATTGATAGAATTTGAGGTGGATCTGACAATGGAAATTGATAGAATTTGAGATGAGTCTGACTCCTCACCTAATAAGGAGCCCCCCCTAATAAACTAATAGGTTTGAGCGCATCCAGTCAGTGTAAGCTCATATGTTGGATCATACCTGTTGATAGATGTAGTTGTTGCCTTACTAGCTTTAACTCTTCACTCATTGGTCAAACACTCAACTCAACTGGATCTAACTTTGATACCAGGATAAAATTTCAGATGAGTTTGACTCTTCACTCAATAAGGTCTTTTTGAACGGGATAATTACCCTCTCTTATAAACAAATAGGTTTAAGCGTGAAAAAAAAAAAGAAGTTACAAATAGGCAATTACCAAATAATTGATATGAGAAGTTAAAAAGATAATGGGCCACAAAATGAAAACCGTTACTTACAGAAAATGGTTAGAACTTTGGAGAAATTTGAAACCATAGTATAGGGATTAAAGGTAATTGTAGTGTGATTTAATTCTGTTATCAATCATAATCTTTCTTTAGTTAGTGGGAATCTGACATTAGTTCTTCTAATTAAGACATTTAATTTTATAAGGATACCTAAATCTTTCTTTAGTTAGTGGCCAACAAAACACATCATCTCATCGCTCTCTTATTGATCAATACGTTACTTAGTCTAGATAAAGAATCATTAAAGCCAAGAAGGACACAGAATTTAGCTTTTATATATATATATATACGCCGTGTTAATTTGCCGACCAAAGTTGCTATTTAAACCATTGTGCTACAATTACTGGATTAGAGCAATTCGGTCAAGTTAGGTCAACTTCAACTTTATCTTCAAGTAAAATATCAGGAGTGGTAAGATATATATATATTATATATATCTTACCACTCCTGATATTTGGTGTCAAGAAGTTTTCATCCTTTAATTTTGGGACACTATCATTGAAACCCCCAATCGAGGTTATGGTTGATTAAATTTAACGGTTTAAAAGACAAAATTAACGTTTAAAGAATTGGTTTGCAATTGTGACCAAATGACTGACCTAACATTTAAGAATCGCGATAGTACATAAATTGTTATTTATTTGTGTAAAATTGTTAGTCGTCTGACCAAAACTTCCAACCAGAAATGCCGTTATACTGCCTCTTAAGCCGTTATGTTTAACAATCAGAAATGCTTGGAAAGTGTTAAATGTTAATATTCCAAAATTAGGAGGAGATATTGTATTTGTACCAAATGTCGGGGGTAAGAAAAAGAAAAAGAAATGATGTATCACAAATCTTATATCAGCCATATATTTAATAATACCAGGGCCACCGGATTGGATAAAGGCATAAACTGGATTAGATCAAACAGCAGAAAAGGGAGATAGGGATTGGACTAAGTTTTCAATAATTTTTATGTGTCAATTTGACATGTTTGGCACTACACGCTCACGCAATTCCACTTTTGCTTTTTGCTTTGGGAAGCAAACCGAAAAATTATGTCNGATTAAATTTAACGGTTTAAAAGACAAAATTAACGTTTAAAGAATTGGTTTGCAATTGTGACCAAATGACTGACCTAACATTTAAGAATCGCGATAGTACATAAATTGTTATTTATTTGTGTAAAATTGTTAGTCGTCTGACCAAAACTTCCAACCAGAAATGCCGTTATACTGCCTCTTAAGCCGTTATGTTTAACAATCAGAAATGCTTGGAAAGTGTTAAATGTTAATATTCCAAAATTAGGAGGAGATATTGTATTTGTACCAAATGTCGGGGGTAAGAAAAAGAAAAAGAAATGATGTATCACAAATCTTATATCAGCCATATATTTAATAATACCAGGGCCACCGGATTGGATAAAGGCATAAACTGGATTAGATCAAACAGCAGAAAAGGGAGATAGGGATTGGACTAAGTTTTCAATAATTTTTATGTGTCAATTTGACATGTTTGGCACTACACGCTCACGCAATTCCACTTTTGCTTTTTGCTTTGGGAAGCAAACCGAAAAATTATGTCATGCAACAAATTACAGATTAAGGATATTAATACGCCATATATGCAGAGGTTTCATGTAAGTAACACAAGTTTCAGAAAGTTATAAAAACACCCATATTCTTAACTGATGTTAAGAAGTTATTGACAATTGACCCCCTAAGTTTTGCTATAAACACAGGGCGGATGATAAAGATGTCAAATTAGAGACTTTCCCCCTTAAAACAAAAATAATTTATAAATTAAAAAAATCAATCTGAATAAAAAAAATTAAAGAAAAAAATATAAAAAAATGAAATATAAAACATCTAACAAAATAAAAAAATATTATATGAAAAATTTATTTTAAATATTGAAGAATTTATGGTTTCTTAAAAAATTTTCAAAATTAAATATCAAGTTTAAAACTACACTGTTGATCATGAAATATCAATTGCTTGTTGAACCATGTGAATTGCGTGAAATAATAATACTTCAAATTCGTGGTTTCAAGATTTTTATAAAATGTGCTTGATAAAAAAAAATGTGCATGGATAAAGTTTGTGTTAAGAATAAATTTCATGTTTTTTTTGTTATTAACTTAATTTTTTTTTTAATTTATAGATTTGAAAATATATATTAAATTTACATAAAATATGTATATTGAAATAGACAGTGGATTTAATGTTGCTTTTTTTTTTTTTTATTGTTAGCTTTTTAAAATTTTCATTTTTTATTTTATGGTTTCTTTAATTTTGTTATTAAAATTTGACTTTTTTTAAGAAAAAAAGAATACGAAAATTATAGAATTATTTTTGTCTTCAAAATGCAAAATAGACATTATATATTGTCTTCAAGGGAAAAGGTGTTTATTTAGGTATCTTTATCATCAGCATGTGATTATCCTTTATCACAAACTTCAGGGGGTCAAATAATAATCTCTTTAAAAATATGAGTACTTTCATAATTCTCTGAAACCTTGGGGAATTAGGTGTGACTAAAAATTTCCCCATGTATTAATTAAATAAAGGAATCTGGGTACCAGCTGTAGATACAAAATACAAAGGGGCATGTGAAAGTTAACTTTCTTATTGGTAGAATTAAATAATATTATCTACAAATTAAAAAAGAAAAGAAAATAGAACAAGAATGAACACCAATTAGCAAATCACTACACGATTTCTCTTCAGTCAGGAAGATTCTTTTAATCTCTTGACTTTTTTATTTATTTATTTTTGCTAATTTTTCAACTACCAATCCACCTTTTGTTTATATAAACAACCTCTTTCACAATGGTTTAGGCCCTCCTCCTCCCATTTTCTCTATTCTACAGCAATCTTTCTTCTTTCTTAAATTTGCTTTCAGTCTGTTCTTGATTCATCTGCTTCTGATCATGTTTTTCCGAAGATTTTAGCATTTATTGATATGATATGAACTCTCTCTCCTCCTTCTCCAAAATATTTTTTTCCCATTCAGTTTCAGTTGTGCTTTTGTATTGGTTCTATGGGTTCTCTTTAATCCTGTTTCACCTTGTGAAATAATCTTAAGCATTCATTCTGCTTTTATATTTAACTAAATTTGTATACCCAGTAATTGAAAGTTTTAATTTAATCTTATTTTTAGTATAAATTTCTGGTTAATTAAGGTCTCAATAAGATGTCCTCTCTTCAACGTACAAGTTTACAGATTGATGTGGAAGCTCGATATGCTATGATGGATGAGAAGAAGAGGAAGAGGATGCAGTCGAATCGGGAATCTGCAAAACGGTCGAGGCTGAAGAGGGAGAAACGATTGAAAGATTTGGTTACTGAGATCGCCGTGTTGAAGCAACAAATCGTGGAAAACAATAAGGTATACAATGACTTGACTCAAAGGACTCAATCACTGTTATCAGAAACAGATTCTTTGAATTATGAAAAGATGCAATTGGCGGAGTATTTGAATAGCTTGAGCTCAGTTTTCATGAGTTCCAGGCTGAAGCAGACTGGTTGTTTATCGAATCAGCCATGGCAAGTTGACGGTCCAAAGCAGCCTTCAATAACAACTGGGATGTCCATGTCTTAGTTCTCGTTAGATGGTCCTCATTTTGTTGTTTTGTTAGTATTATATCAATAATTTGTGATTTGGTGTTGTTTTTTGTTTTTGCTTTTTGCTTCCTGCAGTTGATTTCTTTGTAGCATATTGAAATGTTTTCCTCATAATCCTAGAGGTTATCAGTAAAAATTGTAATATAACATAACGCAGATGGTAAATGAAAATACTAGAGGAAAGCTTATATTATATATAGTAACAAATCTAATATACATATCTCAGACCATGCACAAAACATAGCCTATTTTAGTACTTATGCAAATGGAGTAAAAGAACAAGCAGCTCAGAGTTGACCTATTTAACGTTTAGTTTCTGAAGTGAAGTCTTTTTTAGTATTCAGGAACCTCCACGGCTCATGTTCCAGAATTCGACTTCATGTTCCATGACACGAATGAGAGCTACTTCAGCTTTGTTTAGGACCTCCTTTGAAGCGTCCAATGGTCGAGCATCTTCTGAAGCTTTCTCCAGGCGCCGGTTTGCGATTTTTTTGAGAGAGAGACAGTACTGACCAAAACCATCGTTGCCCCATCTTTGGCAAGTCTCCCGCAGTTCCTGTGGGGTATTAGCGCCATCTTCAAGACAGTGAGCAAAGCTTTCTTGATAGACAGCTTCAATGGCCCAAAAGGCAGTGATAGCCACAGTATATCCCACTTCTGGGCTCATCAAATACTCCAGAAATCTGCAATAGCGAAAGAATAAATGTTTTGACAGTCTACAGAAAACATTGCTAGAACCTCATTTATAAATTGTGGCTTAAAAAGTGTTGCTCATGTTTTTGTAGACTAAAATTTCAATTAATTAAAATGATGAACAAACAGTAGGCTTATTACTAAATATAAAACATCAAAATCACATTGGAATCATGTCATATGAAAGAAATCATTCCCCACATCTCTACCTTCTCGATATGCTAACCAATAAGCAATACTACAATAAAGCCCATATCAGTGATGATTCCGCCTTGATACTTCATTTTATTCTGTAACTAGATCTTATCATCAATCTCTATACATCTGAATCAGTATCACCAACTTAAGCAAAAAATTCTATAGTTGATTTATACAGTAAAAGAAAAGCATGAAAATTGAATTAAAATGAAAAAACTTATTCAGTAACAAAAATCAAAAGCAATTATAGCTATAACAATGATCAAAAACCAGAGACAAAACTTTGATAAAGATAAACAATTCGTGTTACCTGCAGTAATTCTCGTTAGCTTTCTGAGGAGCAATGTTAGAGAGTTGAACGCCCCACTTGGAGGCTTCTCTCTTGAACCATTCAACTTCATCATTTAGTGAGGCCAGTCCTCCCAATATAACTTCTGTATCACCATATCTGTCGTCTGATTCTTTCCATGCTTTCACCAGAACGCTTGCCACAAATGGAGCAAACTCCCTAACAAATAAATAATCTTGACCCTGCATTTGAATTGCACCAAGAAATTTGAAACTAAATAACTGAATTGTAAATTTGTTATAATATTAAACTTGCAGTTGCGGAACAGACTAGCCATGTTTTGAAGGAGGAGAGATCGACGGTGCCATCACGAATGCTGAGGATGAAGGGATGCCGAGTCGCTCCAGTGTAGAGGAGACGGTGTTTCCTCAGCCACGTGTCGATCATCCCGCTCTTCTCCGAGTCTTCCCTTCCAATTTTTTTTCTGATGTGTTTCTTCTGGAAACTGAAACTGAAACAGAAACAGAACTGAGTTTGAGATAATGGGTCCCAAGAGACTTTATAAACAGAGAGTGGACCAGGCCCAAACACGTGGTGAACCAGCAAGTCAACAAGTCAAAAGCTCGGGACCTTCGTGTAAGTGCTTGTTCGTGTCCACGGTTGCCTTGCTACTGTACTGGGTCTTATGAGAAACTTCCTGATTTGTCTAATGGGCTTGTTCTCACTTCTCAGGCCATTAATAATATGAATTCATGACAACGTATGGCTTATAAATTTCTGAGCTTCTGGTTCATTTCCAGAGGAATTTCATCCACAGAGGCTAAGGCGCAGGGCCAGGAAACAGATAATTTGAACATATGGAAACAAGTAAATCTATGGGAAAAATTGTTCTGAAATCTTTCATAATTAGGGAATATACTCTCTTCATTGCAAACAGAAAGAAAACAAAAGTTTTGATACAACTTATAAGGTAACTATTTCAAGGTAGATTTGATACAACATTCACAAATTCTTGGACTCCCACAAAATAAATTTTTTTTTGAGAGAATACACAGATTCATATTACAAATCCTTCCCTTATCTTAATGAAACTTCCAAACAGAGAGAGAAAGGTGTGGTGATCCCTTCCATCCAACAATTAGACTTTTTCCATTTTTCTCAAATGTACAAGATTTGCCTTTCCCACAAGCAAAATTCTTCACAACTAGTTCTGCCTGATACAATGACGACATGCTAAGCTCTGTTTCAACAAGCCCAAAACTGCTGAAAAATGCCCTCCAAGCATCAATCTTCATGTGCCTAACAATCCTCTCCTCGCCCTCATTTGCAATAATGTTTCTAATAGCCTGACCCAATAATTCTTCAACCATCATCCTATTTTGATCACTTCGCGCCATACAATCTTCCATGCAATCAAAAAAAGTACTGTAGTAAAAAAGTACTTCAAAAAACCTGTCTTCAAAAGATAGTAAGTTATCATTTGCTTCAATTTCAGTGACCACCATCACTTGAGGATTAGTATTTTTAAGCACTCTTATTAAAGACTCCAAGCAATTGGGCAATCTAATCATATGATTTAGTGTAATAGAAGAGTGGATAGCTACAACTTCACCCTTGTGTAATTCAAATAAGTTCTCATTGAGATCTTTGAGGCTGGTCACCATAACAACTTTGAATGAAAAGGGTAAATTTAAAGTCTTAGCAAAGTATGCCAATGTTTTGCCTGTCTCCTCAATTTCATGCCTCAATGTTGTTCCAACTGCAGTTATTGTAAGAAGCTCCACCTGAGGTTCGTGTTGAGTTGCAAGAGCTTGCATCAACAACATATATTGTGCTCCACTTCTGATTTCAAGGTCAATCAAATGGACTCTTTTTGCCGCGGCCACGCTCTCAATGATTGCTTGCATTCCTGCAAACCGTGTAGCTTGATACAAGGGGATTTCCAAGAAAAAACCAAGGAGAGCAGGTTTCAAATTTACCATCACCACTTCTGGATATAACAACATATTTTCTTCACCTTTCGCTCCCTTTGATCTGATTCTCCCAGTTTCTCGATCAAACTTCTCTCGAAGAGCTTCAGTGAAAACAAGTCATGAAAAAAATCTCTCTGCCTAGCTTGTATTCCATTAAGCATAATGACATTCATTTACTGATGTTACTTAATTTCTCAAACCTTTGGAACTGTTTTATATGTCATGACATATCTTATAATTATTATCATTGAAAAGCAAATAATTCAGCAAACACTAGCACTACTCGTAACTAATTGTCTAATTTTGAAAACGCCTTCAAGCAGCTAAAATTCAGAAACACAACAAATTGATAATTAATAATTTGAAGCTCAATGTTAAACCAACAGTCCAGCACAACTTTATTTTCTTTGCACCAGTAAAAAAAAAGTGGTGCAAAGAAAATAAAGTTGAAATCTGCTCTTAATTCTTTTTTTTTTTAAATGTTTTTTACCGACTCACGAGCCAGGTCGAATATCCTTCCTCCCTTCACGAGCCGAAACGAGTCAGGAAATCAGAGGTTCTGCTCGGCTCGGCTCGAACTCGATTCCTCTCCCTTCACGAGCCGAGCTCGTTAAGCCAAAAACTCGGCTCGGCTCGACTCGGCTCGAAAACAACCCTATCAACCAAACATAAATATAACATACCTATCAATTAACCAAACACATTTTCTTAAAGATTCTTAGTAATCTCAAGGTAATAACTTTTTAATAACAACATTTCCAATAATCCAACATTTCCTAAACCAAACGTCCCTACGAGTTATGAGATGAACAAGGGAAAAATATCTAAAGTTTGAGTCACGGGAACAGATTTTGAGCCTAGTAAAATGAGTTGGGTAAAAGACAAACTCGAGTCTACCTCGATAAAGACTATATGTGATTATGGTAATTTTCGAGTCGCAAATGGTTGTGCATAAATCAGGACAAATCATTAATCTTAGTTGATTGTTGTTTTCTGCAGCTAAGATTATAACGCTCCCAAATCAATAATAATATATAGGAATGGAGATTGGATGGTCTAATTTGTCACGTAATATTTGTTGATTGCTGCTTGGTTAGACTATTTTAGTGGATTACGTCTGTGTATGTCTGTTAGCTAACTTATATAATCTGGAAAAACAATAGAATATCATTTGACTCTGTAAAAAATTAAGCACAGACATCCAAAAATCTGCCCGGACAATTATTGATCAAAAAACTAGATTGGCAAGTTATGTGAGCATCCATTGAAAATAAGAGAGAATGCTTCAGAAAGCGCCTGGTATTCGAAGCCACAAAGGTATTGACTGCCGTTGAAGTTTTCCTTTCAGAGATGTGCATTTCTGTGATTAGAAAATCAAGCCATAAAAAAGGATTGGGTATGTGGCTGCTGGGATTCGAGCCCAGGTTCCACGGCCACAACGTGGAATTCTTACCACTAAACTACAGCCACTCGATTCATAATATGTTTTAAAATTTTAAAAATGATAACTGCACCAAATTGTAACTTTAAACCCTTGAAAGAGAGTGCAGGAAACACCCACGTATTTAAAAAGTATTTGATATCAACACACATGAATAACTGGAAATCTATTAATATTCCTCGTATTCAATACATTGAATAGAGAATTGAGTACATAAAACTAAATATATAAAAGAAGAAATTAAAAGACTTCCTGAAATTTTTATTTGAAAATTTCTAAAATAATTTTCATAGGTCCCTCTCCATTAAATCCTTATGCTTGTTACTCAAAATTGTTGTGAAATAAGAGCTAGGCTTTGGAAATCCCATAATTAGACAAAGGGGTTCATCCTTACGGCAAATAATTGTTCTATTTTTTTACCCATTAGCTGCATTTTGTTTTTGTTTCATGTCATCAATTGATAACCAAAAGCGGAAGCCTAGAACACATCTCTACCATAGCAATAAATTCTAATAGTGGAATGATTCTTGTCTAGTCTATCAAGACCTTAATCCATGGGATATATGAAATTGATAGAATTTGAGGTAGTCTGACAATGGAAATGATAGAATTGAGATGGGTCGACTCCCACTAATAACTAAGGAGCCCCCCCCAATAAACTATAGGTTTTAGCGCTACCGTGTGAGCTCATATGTTAGTCATACTGTTGATGATGTAGTTGTCCTTACTGCTCTAATCTTCACTCATGGTCAAACACTCAACTCAATGTGAACTCAGCTTTGATATCGGAAAAGGTTACAAAGGCAATAACAAATAACTTAATGAGAAGTTAAAAGATAAGGGCCACAATGAAAAAACGTTACCAACAAGACAATGGTTAGACTTTGGAGAAATTTGAAACCATGAAAGGGATTAAAGTAATGTAATGTGATTTAATTCTGTTATAATCATAATCTTTCTTTAGTTAGTGGGAATCTGACATTAGTTCTTCTAATTAAAACATTTAATTTATAAGGATACCTAAATCTTTCTTAGTTAGTGGCCAACAAACACATCATCTCATCCCTTCTTATTGATTAATACGTACTTAGTCTAGATAAAGACATTTAAGCAAGAAGGACACAGAATTGCCTATATATATATTAACGCCGTGTAATTTGCCGACCAAAGTTGCTATTTAAACATTGTGCTACAATACTGGATAGAGCAATCGGTCAAGTTAGGTCAACTTCAACTTTATCTTCAAGAAATATCATAGATATATTAATTACCACTGCCGATATTTGGTGTCAAGAATTTTCATCCTTTAATTTTGGGACATCATTGAAACCCCCAATCAGGTTAAGTCGATTAAATTTAACGGTTTAAAAGACAAAATTAACGTTAAAGAATTGGTTTGCAATTGTGACCAAATGATGACCTAACATTTAAGAATCGGATAGTAAAATGTTATTTATTGTGTAAAATTGTTAGTCGTCTGACCAAAACTTCCAACCAGAAATGCCGTTATACCTCCTCTAAGCCGTTGTTTAACAATCAGAAATGCTTGGAAAGTGAAATGTTAATATTCCAAAATTAGGAGGAGAATTTGTATTTGTACCAAATGTCGGGGGTAAGAAAAAGAAAAAGAAATGATGTATCACAATCTTATATCAGCCATATATTAATAATACCAGGGCCACCGGATTGGATAAAGGCATAAACTGGATTAGATCAACAGCAGAAAAGGAGATAGGGATTGGACTAAGTTTTCAATATTTTATGTGTCAATTTGACATGTTTGGCACTACACGCTCACGCAATTCCACTTTTGCTTTTTGTTTGGGAAGCAAACACGAAAAATATGTCATGCAACAATTACAGATTAAGGATATTACGCCATATATCAGAGGTTTCATGAAGTAACACAAGTTTCAGAAAGTTATAAAAACACACCATTTGACGACCCCTAAGTTTTGCTTATAACACAGGGCGGATGATAAAGATGTCAAATTAGAGACTTCCCCCTTAAAACAAAAATAATTTATAAATTAAAAAAATTCAATCTGAATAAAAAAATTAAAGAAAAATAAAAAAAACATCTAACAAAATAAAAAAATATATATGAAAAATTTATTTTAAATAGGAAGAATTTATGGTTTCTTAAAAATTTTCAAAATTAAATTAAGTTTAAAACTACACTTTGATCATGAAATATCAATTGCTGTTGACCATGAATTGCGTGAAATATATACTTCAATTGTGGGTTCAAAGTTTATAAGTGCTTGATAAAAAAAAATGTGCATAGATAAAGTTGTGTAGAATAAATTTCATTTTTTTTTGTTATTAACTTAATTTTTTTTTTAATTATAGTTTGAAAATATTATTAAATTTACATAAAATATGTATTGAAATAGACAGTGGATTTAAGTTGCTTTTTTTTTTTTTTTTTAGCTTTTAAATTTTCATTTTTTATTTTATGGTTTCTTAATTTTGTTATTAAAATTTGACTTTTTTTAGAAAAAAAGAATACGAAATTATAGATTATTTTTGTCTTCAAAATGCAAATAGACATTATATATTGTCTTCAAGGGAAAAGGTTTATTTAGGTCTTTATCATCAGCATGTGATTATCTTATCACAAACTTCAGGGGGTCAAATAATAATCTCTTTAAAAATATGAGTACTTTCTATATTCTCTGAAACCTTGGGGAATTAGGTGTGATAAAATTTCCCCATGTATTAATTAAATAAGAAACTGGGTACCAGCGTAAATACAAAATACAAAGGGGCATTGAAAGTTAACTTTCTTATTGGTAGATTAAAAAATATTATCCACAAATTAAAAAAGAAAAGAAAATAGAACAAGAATGAACAACCATTAGCAAATCACGACACGATTTCTCTTCAGTCAGGAAGATTTTTAATCTCTTGACTTTTTTATTTATTTATTTTTGCTAATTTTCAACTACCAATCCACCTTTTGTTTATATAAATAACACCCTTCCACAATGGTTTAGGCCCCTCCTCCCATTTTCTCTATTCTACAGCAATCTTTCTTCTTTCTAAATTTGCTTCAGTCTGTTCTTGATTCATCTCTTCTGATCATGTTTTCCGAAGTTTTAGCATTTATTATATGATATGAACTCTCTCTCCTCTTCTCAAAATATTTTTTTCCCATTCAGTTTCAGTTGTTTTTGTATTGGTTCTATGGGTTCTCTTTAATCCTGTTTCACCTTGTGAAATATCTTAAGCATTCATTCGCTTTTATATTTAACTAAATTTGATACCCAGTAATTGAAAGTTTTAATTATCTTATTTTTAGTATAAATTTCTGGTTAATTAAGGTCCAATAAGATGTCCTCTCTTCCACGTACAAGTTTACAGATTGATGTGGAAGCTCGATATGCTATGATGGATGAGAAGAAGAGGAAGAGGATGCAGTCGAATCGGGATCTGCAAAACGGTCGAGGCTGAAGAGGGAGAAACGATTGAAAGATTTGGTTACTGAGATCGCTGTTGAAGCAACAAATCGTGGAAACAATAAGGTATACAATGACTTGACTCAAAGGACTCAATCACTGTTATC